GTTTTTTTGTTTTTGGGGGGGGGGGGGGGGGGGGGGGGGGGGGGGGGGGGGGTTCCAGATCTGGACCCTCCCCTTTGCCCCCCTCTCCCTCCAACGGAAAACAGAAAGTGCATTGGTTCGGCCGGACGATATCTAAGTCCTCCTCCTTCATCGATCACCCTTCATCACCTTTTTCCCCTTTTTGGTAATGCTCTGCTGACTCAGCAAGTTAACTTACCAGGGTCAATGCCATCAGTGTTTGGTGAGCGACCTGGCGATAAAATGGATAAGCCATGAATGTGGACATTTGTGCAGTAAATGGGGTGCACTGTCCAGAACGTTGAGTTCAACAGTCTCAGGCCAGAGATGATGATGTTCCGCGACCAAACAAACTCGATCAGACATCCAGGAGTTGAATGGAACTTGTGGGCCCTCACAAGGCCCCAGATAAAATCTCCCTGGCCATCAATAACTCCTTCCCCTGCAAATAAATCACACAAACGAATATGCCTTAATTAATTATTAGTCTGTCTATAATGACTCTAGATAGTATATACATCCTTTTAGGATTAGGTAGGGTAAGGAATACTCACACTAGCAGGACTTTCCTGGATGGATCTGACCTTAGTTTTGGCCAGATTCGGTCCAAAAAGTCCTAGGGTAGTGCAAGTCCCATGCCCTCAGTCCCACCCCCTTCCCTGCCCGCCCCCCGAACCTCACACTAGCAGGACTTTCCTGGATGGATCTGGCCTTAGTTTTGGCCAGATTCGGTCCACAACCTCACAACTTGTCTGTCCTTTTAACAAAACATTCTCTTCCCATCCCATCCCATCCCATCCCATCCCATCCCCTGACACCCCGTAATGTCGCAGATTCAAATCCTGCTATATCCCGATCTCATCCCGTTCTTCCCCCACCAACCCCATGCCACCACATCCCATTCCATCTCGTCTCGACATCTTGTCTCAACCCATCCCATGACACCACCTAATGGTTGCAGGTTTAAATCCCGCTATACTCACACCCCCTCGACCTGCTCCTCCCCCTCGCACGACTTCATCCTCCCCTTTGCACGAACCACTCCTCCCCCTTCCACGACCTCCACCTCTCCCTTGTCCGGACCTCCTCCCCCCCCCTTGCGTAAAATTGCCGTCAACATCAGGCACACTGTGACCACACCCACCCACCACTTCTCTCACCTCCAAACTGGAACTTACCTGTCAAGACCACATCAGTTAAGTTGTAGCCACTGACGAGTCCCATGGTCCGCGGGCCGAGGGCATTGCGACCAGAGCCGTACGATGGCCAAGGCGGAAGAAGACCGTAATGGGCAACATCCTACACAGTGTCAGACACACGCAGACCATCGTTCAAGAATACAATCAGGAGAAAAAAATGAACGCAAGACTGTGCACGTCCTTTTTTTTTGCTAAACAGTTTGGTTTCTGGAAAAACATCTTGCTGGGTTGCCCCAAACTGCCTGACATTCATAGCAGTTGCTTTTTTTTCCTTCGTTTTTAGGATCCAATATAATTATTCTTCGCTCAAAACCGGGACCCGCTTAGATGATTTACTCAACATAGGATGGAGGGAGTGCCTTTTCCAAATTCCATCCTTAGGCCAATTAATGTTTTCTAGTAAAAAAAAAAAAAAAAAAAAAAAAAAAAGGGATGGAGGGAGTGCCAAAGTGTTAAGGGACCTCAGCAGAGTCTCTGCCACCACCGCAGTAGCTGGCTACATGTAGTAGCAATAGGACAAAATAGGGAAGCTGGATAGTTGTTTAGCATAGATAAGCAAAAGGATAGAATAGGCAAGCGAGATGGACTGAGCGCGCCTGAATCTGGACACATCTGCGGGGAGGTGCAGAAAATCGCATTTGTTCTCCTTTTCTGCCTCTCTGCTTAAAACACATCCACATTCAGGCACTACATCCTATTCTTTTTGCTACTGGGGCGTTCCTCCAGGGGCCCTGAGACAGCGCGCACTACTGGTCGACGACATGCGCAACATCACATCCATTCCAGTCGGGGGGGCAGGCGCGGGAAACACTGCGCAATTCCCCGTTTGGAAAATGCAACACTTGTCAGATCTTGGGTGTGCAGGGGGAGGGGAGGGAAGGGGGGGGGGGGGGAGGGGGGGCGGGTGTAAACAGTGAACAGTAGCTCAGTTGGTACACCCATGAACTGTTGAAATGCAGACCTGAGTTCGAACCCAGTCGGAACTCGATGAATGAATGAATGAAATTCTTGAATTACCCGGGGCCGGGCAGTTTCGACGATGATATCTCAAGACCGCTGCCCGTCTATAACAAAAAAAAAAAGGGCAACACATGCCCTCTGGGAGGGACATCCCTGAAATTCAAGCGATGGCTTGGTAGCTGCGATACACAATTAGCATGACCCCTGTTTTGTCATTCTTGATGTACTGTGTTGGGCACTGGGCACATTTGTAAAATAAATTCCAAGCTAGGCTACCAGCCGGGCCGCCCGGGTCACCCTGTTTTCCAGGGCGGCCCCGACGGGCGAGGACGAGGGAAGGTCTCAGCGGACAAAAAAAAAAAAAGGGAAAAAAATATGTTATGCAGAAAAATTAACTGAACAACTTTTGCCTCAAGGTCACATCGAAATTCGTTACCAAATTAAAAAAAAGAAATTAAAAATAATAATAATGTTTTTTTGTGGCCCGGCCGGGCAAGTGGTCCAGGGCCACTCTGGTAGCCTAGATTCCAAGGCCAAAAAAAAAAAAAAAAAGTCTGGGGTGCGGTCCCACCAGCACCGGGATAGCATAGAGAAAAAAACATCTGCCGTTTGTGTGGCAACAGAACAACAGACATCTGCCGTGCTATGCGTGCGATTGTATGCTCAGTTTTTTTCCCCATAGCAGTAGTATTTGAAATGTCCTGCTCCTTCGGCTGTTTGGTGCTTGAGCAAGGGGATGGAGGTAAATGTGGGATGTTCGAGATGCCGGTGGCCGTTCGAATCCGCCCGTCACCTGTGGTGGGAATGCCCCGCGTCCAAACGGGTCTGGGACTGATGGGCCTACCACTGGAAGGAACTCGGAGGCCAAGATGTACAGTGGGAAGAAAGATGGGTTCTCCTGGGATTTCTTCCCCCAGGGGTATCGGGGAAAAGAGGATTGGGCTACATTGCGCATGTGATGAGAGGTGTGATATGCCAGGTCATTTGGATGGAAAGAAACAGGTCGAGGTTCCAGAGGAGACCTTTCTCCGACCTGGAAACCAAGAATCACATAAAGCGAGGCCTGAAACTGGCGATCAGAGTTGACTGGAGGAGAAGAGCGAGATGCGGCAAGGGTAGCAGGAAACAAATCAGATGGTTTCTACGCACCTGGGCGAAAACGCACAGGCTGGCGGCTGTGCACAATAGGAAGGGGCTGATTCTGTCCAACTGGGTACTGGCTAGCAGCAACAGTACGTAAAGGCCTGGGAGAGTAGGGCGAGAGCGATGTAAGTAGGATCGGAGTGAGGGGAACCTGGAGTCCGGAGGGGCTCCCTCGAATAGGGAGGTCCCGAGTACGAGGGCACTCGGTATTCTAGGACCACAGTGGGCCTGTAGGAGAGTGTCAGTAGGACAGGGACGCAGTCTGCTGGGCCGGTTTAGTCCCAGTTTGAATCTCCGTATCTGTTAGTTGAAGAAGTTATTCTGCGAAATTTGGGAGAGAAGACGTCTTGGTTAAATCTAACAACTCCCGTGTTATTCAGTGTTTTCTTCAATGATTGATTGAGATGTTTTCTGAAGGTGAAGTACAGTTCAGATAGCCAGTTCTCAGATTATTAAGTATAGGCGCATTGCCACCCAAATTGCTCAGCACTTTCGAAGGACTATTGTCTGCGTAGTGAAGATGAAGTGGTAACTTTTTGAAGTACAGTGTTGCTAGGCTCAGATATTATGAAGGAAACTGAGTAGGAGTTTGGAAAGTCGGCAGAATCGACTTTCTGACTTTCTGCAGGTGCAAACGTGTAAGCTAAGCTGGCTGATGCTGTCAGTACCTCCGGGTAGAATTGTGAGGTCCCCGGCCTCTGTTTGATTGATATATAAGGAGCTATGAAAAAAAAAAAAAAAAAAAAGGTCCTGCTGGCTTTTGGGAATATGGAGAAATTTTGGGAAAAACATGTCCCCAAGTCGCACACATGTCACCACGCCTCAGACTAAGGATTACACAAAACCTTTTTTTTTTTTTTTTTTTTTTTTTTTTTTTTTTTTT